CATGCCAGTTTCATAATGTCAATTTTGCAACAATTTGTGAAATATCACATGCCTGCTTTTCCCACTTCCCCTTCTGTTCTCTGTATCAAATAATGTATTAAAACATGTTGCTAACTATTACATTGACAAACCCCATATACTGATGATGTTTCATCGCTTTGTTATTGCAGGTCCAGATTGGTTTCCTCTACTAGTTCTCCAATCCCCCGGTCTCCTCCAACAGTAGAATCTCCCAATGAGCTTTTGAGAAATGCGTCCAACCAGAACACAGGCACCAAGTCCACTGGTAAAAATAAAGTTCTTTTGCTTATTTATTTTATCTATTTTTATTTATGTCTAACTCCCTTCGTCTCATTCCTTTCTCCCAGGTGAACTACAGTATTCACCTGGTGTCCTGCAGCAGCGTATGGCAGCAGAACTCCATTATTTGGACTCAATTGAGGAGTCATTCAGACAGTTGGGGGATGTGGAAAGGTTAATGGGTGTGTCCATGGCACAGCAGGAGAGTGCATCATTGGCCCAAATGCTCAAGGTAAAGCAGGAGATGTTTCCTATGAAATACTAATGTGATCATATATATTCAGATCAATTCAAATTTATTTATACGGCACCAAATCACAACAACAGTCGCCTCAAGGTGCTTTCAATTGTAAGGTAGACCCTACAATAATACATACAGAAAAAAAACAACAACAGCAATCAAATGAACCCTGTGAGCAAGCAGTTTGGTGACAGTGGGAAGGAAAAACTTCCTTTTAACAGGAAGAAACCTCCGGCAGAACCAGGCTCAGGGAGGGGCGGGGCCATCTGCTGCTGTTGGGGTGAGAGAAGGAAGACAGGATAAAGACATGCTGTGGAAGAGAGCCGGAGATATATATTAGCTGTAGCATTAATCTTTACCTATCAGAAGTTTCAAAGGATTACAAGTTACTTAGCTTCTATAATCTTTTGTGGCTCATGAAATATGATTTGATGTTTTGAACACAGGTCAGTATTTAAATATCTTTTTCTTTAAGTTTTCTTTTTATTTCTAAATGTTGTATTAGTTACAGCACCAGCTGTGGTGAAAACAAGAATATGACCTGCTGTTTTACTGTATTACACTTTATTGACCTACTCTGTGAACTTTGACCCTGCAGGCCAAGCAGCAGCGCCATGAACGTGAGCTCTATGAGCTGAAGATCAAGGCCGAACGAGAAGCTCTTGAGACAAAACTACAGCTGGAAGAAAACAGGCAGAGAGTGGCCAGGGTACTGCACTGAACCAACAAAATGTTTATGTATTTGTGGATAATAGATTCAACGTTTGCTTTATAACCTTTTAATTTCCAACGTATGAGCGCTTTGATTTTCTGTCTGTGTAATGTATATGTATGTATATGGTTTTGTCCAGGCTCATATAGAACTGCAGGAAACCTTGGCAGCATCTCAAAAAAAGACTTTGGGAGGCCTCCAGGAATCAACTACTAAGATGATGACTCAACAGGCCGAGGCAGCGCAGTACACAGCCGACGCTGCCCGACACATCAAAGAGGTTAGCAATCAGTTCCCTCCTCCCTGCCTGGAAAAAGCCTGTGTCCTAATTGTACAGCAAAAGCTGATTGATTGTTGACTAACAGTAAAGGAAAAAATAAGTGGAAGAAGAGAAAAAGCATAACATCCAGCCTAAGAGTGACGAGGTCGCCTTATTGTGTTTTACTTCATCAGATGACAGAACTAGTCCGGTCGCAGATGTCAGGATCTGTGGTTGTCCCTCCTGTTGCCACTGATTCCTCCACAGTGGAGCAAAGAAAAGAAAATGACACTTACTCGATGGAGCACCGACAGGATAACGTAGACTCTGACAGGTACACTCCAAACGATCACACTCACTTTCCTGTCAGTTTCTGATTTTTATATCCTTCGTAACAGCGATGGGCACGCAAAGCAAAAATGCTTTTGCAGGGAACCGCTTGACGAATTGAAGATTACCCTTCACCTCGTGTTATCACATGAGGTGCTGAGCCGTGATGCGGGCGATCGTGGCTCAAGAGTTGGGAGTTCGTCTTGTAATC